CTGATTTTCAGCAGCCTTGATTATATTTGATGTATACATACATAAGAACACATTGTGTCTGTACACTCCGAGGGACAAGGCGGCAGACGTTTGTAATACGCTTGACGTACGTAGTTAATTACCAAATTCGTTTTGGGGCAATCGCCAAATCATATTTTTTCGAATCCTCCCATAATGGTGTTACGAGCTTAGTCTGTTTTGAACACATAACAACAATTAATTGAACCATTTTACTCTCTTACACACTGTCTATACAATGAATGCGTTTCTAAAAACTGAATGTTCTCAAAATGTATTAATATTAAAAAACAATACTTTTTGAAACAAAACGGTCCAGAACTACGATTTTAACATGGTTGTTATAGATTAGCAACGTTTAATATAGTAACTGTATTAAAATATAATCAAACTAAAACGAACAACTAAATTTCCTAAAATATTTCTTTTACTATCTAAGTCCCACGTTTTCTATTAAATATTTTTTTTAGATAAAAATTACGACGTAAAATTAAAAAAATATATAGAAAATCTATTATAAGATAATTTTGGAAACGTTTCTGTAAAATTTATGTCATGTTATCGTATGTTATAAACAGATATTAGTTTATTTACCGCATATCCAACGATTAGAAAAAATTCATTGTTATTAATTTATATTACTCATATGAATAATTATTTTTTCCATTTATATGATGATATTTATATTTTACAGCGCAATGTCATCATTGTTTATACATAAAGTTACTACAACAACAAGCGTCATATATAACTATGATATGTATTTTATTGCAAAACTTGGAACGCAACAATGTAATTTGGATATTGTATTTTTGAATATTTTATTTCCATTTACTTCAACATTAGTGTTTAACTTTGATTTGAAAGTCTATACGTAGAAATTTTATGAGTATATTAAGAAAGTCATCATTTGTATATTAATTTTTTTATATAACTCATAGACATTGATGTTTTGCAGATTTTAAAAATACTTCTAGGATCGTATGCCCCAACAAATACCTTTAAGCACGTTTTTCTGATTGCACGATGCTAAAAGTTTTCAAAGTAATTGCGTATCAATCACCATATTATCATACATACCCGTAAAATGCAGTGTAAATATAAGTTATGTAAATTACTTTCATCGACTACTGTATAACACAACTGTCATAAATTTCGAAATTTACAAACCCACAGGGTTAATGTACGCGTTTAAATTGATTACTATGTTTATTACTTGAAAACATAGTTTCATGAGTAATTTGTTTACTGTTAATATCTGAACGTTGATTTGAATTATATCTAAAAAAATATATATTTTTACCACAGTGAAAAATGTTTTACACATGAATTTTCGTAACTAAACAATATCGTTATATTAAGTGTTGTTTGTCTGCTGTCTAAATTCTCATGCCGTAACCAATGGCCGCTGTTGTTTTACCCGTTCGCCGTAAGTGTCTTTATCGCACGATTTTGACTATATTAAAAACGAATATAACAATTATAATGCGGCTCTTATTGTGAACCCGTATGCCGTGGAAGCTAATGAGAATAAGACAGAAAAGAGAAGAGAAACCTGTTGTTCACGGGACGTACACCGTGTAGAAGAGGTACTCTAAGAAAGAAAATTATGGGTTTCTAAATGTAAAGCGAATGACGGCCCCTCGTTGAATTATACACTCAGAGTAGCTGCTGTACAAGTATGTAATAGGCATAGGACAAGAGCGCGAGAGAGAGAAACAGATAGAAAGCTCTGAAGGCAAAATTGAGTTTTATGATTAGCATAGGCACACGAGGCATTATTTTATTTTACATACAAATATCATGCGCTCACAAGTTTACAAGCTTAGTTTTAATGTAATGTAAAATGCAATCTCTAGACCGTATAATACACTACGAAAACTTATCCTATAATGATAGTGTATAGGGATATAATTTCAAAAAATAATATAGTAATTATAGTATGATCGTTGCATTTTTTATTATGTTTGTAGATTGTAATTTAAGTAGTATGCCCAAATATATTAACACGTATTTACTGGATATTACATAATAAGATTTCACACACAGTCAGTCCGAATATTTTATATGGTCGTACAGTGTTCGAGTTTTAAAGTAAAATTGATTTTTCAATTATTAAAAAAACACTAAAAATATCTAGAAAAATTGTTATCACGTTAAATCTGAAGATTGGAATTGCATTTTTTAAACATTATTGAATAATATAAATTTCTATTATTATTTTTTTTAATCATAGTCGATTAGTATAAAAATAAGTTTTATTTCATTATTAACAGAAGAAAGATTATAAATTAAAAAAATATTATAAAGGATATTGGTTTCCCTTCTATTTAAATGTTAAAAAGCACTCTGACAAATGTATTACCAAGTGATCAGTTTTATAGTTACTGACGATAATTATAAAAATACAAAAAAATCATTTTAATGTGCAAAAATTCTAAATATTATTTATTAATAAATGATCGAAAAATATATGTTTAACTCTTTTTAATCGACTACATTAAAGACTTCAAAAATTAACAGCTTAAGTTTCTGTCATTATCTAATTTTTGTTTGGAAATGCCAATAAAATATTTATATGAAGACCGTTTTGATTTTACAACCCTAAACAATTTTTTAAGACTGTGTCAAATTAGCCTTATTCATCGCTAAAATAATAACTAACAATATTAAGTTAACTCCGGCTCCCTTTCAATACGAATAAATCTTTCGCCTTTACTATTGAGTTGTTCAATAAAATATCATATCACATAAGGTGGGCGTAGACATTAAGGGAGGCGGTCAGTTCAGGTCCCTAAAATAAATTTATGGTTTTCAATTGAGATTACATGTCACAACTAATTATAACCACAAGGTTAGATTTAATATTTAATCTTCGTGGTGACAATATCATTTTTATTCCAATTAGTGACGGGCTTACAAAGAAGATTAAAGTACTCTGTCCACCGTTCATAATTTCCGTTGCTTTTGTACAACCCTTTTAACAAGACACAATTTCAGATCTCATCTCTCTATCATCTATTTTTGTACGTGTATAATGTGTGACCGGTTATTTCATGCATGTTATGGTTTGCCCTCGCAAAAGAGAAGCATTTAATGTCATTGGCAAACGGTTAGTCTTTAACAGTTTCGTTTTACTTAAAATGGTCGACAATCGTATAGTTTGCTATTCGATAGTTTAAAATATTCAAATATGCTCATCACTAGTGTTCACTCATTTTCAGTTTATTGGTCGCATTAACAATGTGATAACAAAAGTTTTATTGGGCCGCTTTCTTCATTAGTATTATAGTCATTTTGAGCGACACATTAGTAAAATAAGTAAGTTATTTTACTAAATAATCTACAAAAAATAGTTAATTTCCAATAGAAAACTATATTGAACAAACTATTTAAATCATTTTAAAAATATATATTCGTGATATAATTTTATAACCGATAATGTTGTATACCACTAATTACAAATTAATTTTTAATGTCTATATTTTTTAACTCTTTTTAATAACTATTGCCTTCTTAGACTTTGTTTAAATTTTTATTATTTATTACTAATAAATAGAAAATATATATAAAATTTGTATTTAATGTTTTTTTTTTCAAAATTTCAAAATTCGTTTCTTACAAAAAATTTTGATAACAATTTTAGAAAAATTACTCATTTAGTTCCAGGAATTTTAATATGAGTGGTTATGGACGTGGTCTGAGTTTATGTGCCTGTACAAACTGAACCTATCCTAACTGCATAATATTAAGTTTTAAATTTGAGTAATGCCAATTTTTGGGGACGGGGAATTTTTTTCATATGAGTTTATAAAAAATAAGCTTCAATAATAGAGAAAATGTACAAATTTGTAATTTAGTTTATACAATATCTATAGATAACTAGCGCAGTGCACTTGTTATAATTTTTCATAAAAGTCGTCACGAATATTTTATAGAATTTGTGATTTTACTTATAAAAGTGTCATACAAATTTTTGTATTGTCAATAATTTTAAATAAAATTAAGATATCAGATATAAGTAACATTTGGAAAAAATTACATGTTTTTATTCATATGTTAAATTAAAGCTTATGTTATGCAATATATGTTAAAAAAATTCGTCCTGAAACCTTATCTATTCTATGTGCAAATGGTTCAGTATTTTAAAAACATGCTAATTTTGTGTTAAGACTTTCGATTTCATATTTTATTTTTTCGACTTAATATTTCTATAACTTTTTGAAAAATGTATGTATCAGTAAAAATTTATTGTGGAAGTGGTATATACATTTTTTTATTATCTGAAAAAATTGTTTACTTTTATTTTTAATACCATATATAGGAGATGCTACAGTGATGGAGTTATCGATTTTCATAAATGTTATGTGAATGATATATAAGTGTAATACATGAATAATTACTTGGTAGAGTGATTAAATTTAGTATGAAATTGATATGGAATAATTTAGTATTGTAAATTTTACTAACAAGTATAAAAAGTTACAAAGTTGTTGTAACAAGTAATTGATTTAATGTTAAACATTCGATTACTCTTAAAATAATAATTATATTAAGAATATTATTTTTAGTTTAACTTAATTTTATAAACAGAGTTTTCAGTAAGTAATGAAACAGTTCCATTATAACGAACAACGAGAACAATAGAATCCCGTTTCCTTATTTGCCGAACACACTATATAAGTCGAATTTTAAATTATGTATGATCATAATCAAATAAATAATCATCTAATTAAAAAATAGTTATTAAAAAATAATATTTTAAATATCAATTATGCTAAGAAAAACCTTTGTGACATTTTTTTAGTTGTATACATTTCTCAATTTGTCAATTAAGATAAATTTTTTAATTTATCCTTTATACCCTATAAAATACAGACAACAAACATTTTTCTTGTTACATTATCAAAATAAATTGTTTTTTTAATGAGTTTTTATTCGCTTACCAAACATTTTCAATTAGTGAAACTCTAAATAAAATTGTATACACAAGACAGACTTAGTTATTCATTTGAATTCAAAACAATAATAATTTTGTATAAATATTAAGTTTAGTATAGCAAATAGGTATATAATTTATAGTGTTTATAAACAGTATTTTTTATAAAAACTAACTTGATAAATCAATGAATAATTACGTTTGTACGCAATTCAAGTATATCTTTCGTATCCTAAATTCGAAGTCTACATAAGATATATTTGATCTAAGAAAAAAAATGTTCAATACATCTTCTTCATTTGAAGTAATCTCTTGTTTAAATGTCCTTTGGTACATTTGTAGTTCTGAAGTTATGGAAGACTTTGAAGACAATAGCGTAGCCTTAAGCTCTGCAATATTCTTACGATCATCTGTAGTTATAATATAATGTTTAATGTGTACAAGCAGTATATAATCAGGTTCTTGGAACCGTCGAAGATACCAAAAACGTGCCATAAATTCTTCGTCAGTCATACCATTCTTTAAACTATCCTTTAAACGACGAAACTCTATTTGAGTAAGAGCACGAAATCGGTACGGACTTCGTTTATCAAATTCACAATCATCCAATTGAACTATAAATAATTTTAATATTTTATTCATTAACAATTTTTCTAAAAAAGTATAAATTAAAAAGTCAACTTAAATGCACATAATTCATGTTACCTACTTAAGTTTTCAAAATCGTCTATCGTTCCATAACAAAAAGGACAATCAATTTTACCTATAGAGATTTTATTTGCGCAATAGTTTCCTGATATGTGACCACATGGGAAGAAGGTAACTGAGTTTGTCTCTTGTTGGCAAAAATGACATGACAAATCTATACAAACGCTGCATGTTAAAATTATATAGATAATTTGGGTTGTCAAAGTTACACCAAATATTTCATTGATATAAATAATTATTTTAACAATAATTTTTTATTATTATAATAAATTAGTTAATTTAATTATGACTATAAATAATAAAAGTTATGACATTTAACCGGAAATCCATAATTAACACATGTTATTACAATTTTAATAAATTTAGTTACCGCCTAAATAAATTATTTATCATATTTATTGCAATTAAATGAATAAATATATGCATATTTTCCATTACCTTCTGAATTATTTACTGGATTATCTATAAATTAAACAGTTAATAAATTTCACTATTACTATGTACATGGCTATTTTATTTTATATTTTATTCCCTTATAACTAACTTGTAAAATAGAAAATGATTTAAAATATAATAATTAATCGATAACAATTTTTGAACTAATACATCTCGTCCACATTATGACTTCCGACTAGGTACCAAAAATGGGAATATTTATAAGAATAATATATAAAAAAAATTAGCCTTCTCAAAAATTTGTTATCAAATGTGTTAATGATATGGTTTTAATGTACATTTTCTGACTTGTATCATGTTTTTTAGTGTATGAAATTCACAGTTCTATAAGGCTACATATTAGCCTGTTAATACATTTGATTAAATAAATACATATAAGTATGTTTTCAGTTACCATTTGATATATCTTTTAGATCCTCTATAAATTAAACAGTTGATTAATTTTACTATTATAATAAAACATATTTAATATATTTGTCTATTTTATTTTACTTTAATTTATATTGAAACAAAATATGATGAATAATTTTAATTAAAATATAATAGTTTAATGAGTGGTATCAATAAAATATAAAACCAAAATTGAACTTAAATTTCTATTATAATGTGAATAATAGTTAGTGAAATAATAGCTCGGTTATATACAAATAAATTTCGAATTACCCTTTATTGTATCATTTAGGTTATCTGAAAATTAATATGTTTAGTCATAAGTTTATTAGTTTTCTTAAATTTGGAAATACATAATTTGCATTTTATTAGATATAAATATTATTTTAATAATAATATGTCGTTCCATACATAATTACAAAATATACGATGTGATTATTTTAACCATGTTACTAGATTTCTCTTAAAATAATGTTTTTTTGAAAATTATTGTTTGCATTTTGTTAGTTACATATGTATTTCATAATTGTTGTAAAATGATTTATAGATCCATCTCTTAAATTTTATAGAGGTGTCAACTTTATTTTTTAATTGGAAATATATGTATTAAACTATCTTATAAAGTAGAAAATGTTCTAAATAAGAAAATCATTGTACGATTAAAAATTTTTAACCATTACATTGGAAGTTATTAGTATTTAAAATATAGACTGGTGGAGAAGCTTAAATGGTGTTATTTTTATTTTTAGTCATTTCTCGTCTGCACTCTTCCGCCTAGGTACCAAAAAGGAGAATATTTGTAAAAAACATATAGCCCTTACAAAAAATTAGAAGGAAAATAACAGCCTTATAAATTAGCCAGTTAATAAATTTTACTAAATAAATAAATTTAAGTATATTTTAAGTTAACATTTGTAATATCACTGAATCCTCTATATTTTATCCAATTATAAAAATATTAGAAAAAAAGTATAACTTAAGGTTCAATTTATTTTTAATTACATAATGGAACAATGTCGTCACAATTTACTTTTTTGCATGCATGATAGAAACATCCATAGGCTAGTGATTGTGCTGTAAAAAATCGAGTTTGTTTTAAGATTAAATTATTTAAAAATAGTTTTAAATCTAAATAGGAAAGCTTACTTAGCTGAGCTCAATAGGTATTAGGGAGGACGTTAAATATGATTAAAAATACTATTACTAATAATAGTAATAATAATAATAATAATAAATAAAATAAATAAGTTATCTAAATTAAGTATTTTGTTAACAATCTAAAAACATAGACTTTAATAATATAAATATTAATGTCGCAGTTTTATTTTAATTTTTGTTTGTAATCTATGCATTACATATGATTGGAACAATTATTTTTCTTGAAATGAAACTTAACAAAATTTTGAATGATGGGTATTTAAATTAATTAATTAATTTAATAGCGTCAAATTATTGTTTCCGCATAGCACTCTTGGCTGTCATAAGTCAGTATTGTTGCAACGGTCGGCTCTTTGCGTATGAACGTGTTTCACTCTCTAAGTTTTTATTGTTTTTTCGATGCTAATAATTAATGAACGTTGTTTATTTAGAAATAAACTATGTAATTGTAACTAGTTATTTCGTTCTTTCTTTACATTAAAATTTAACGTAAACGTTAGTTAATAGAAAAAAATGAACAATACTTCCTATAAAAGATTATCAGCACAGTTAATAAAATTAATAGAGAAAACAAGTTTTTCCAATAGAAAATTAGCAACGCATATAACAAAATTTAACTAAGGAAACTATACTTTACCAATTAAACTCGACAGAAAACCAGTAATATACAATACTAATTTAATCATCTTTTAATATTATAAAAAAATATTAATTATTATTGCTTTACTAAAATGAATATAGTGTTTCTTTGAACTAAATGTAAGATTATTATTTCAAACGTTATTTAACTTAAATTCATATATGGTAAAACCAACTGTTATTGCAAATGTGTTGTTTGGAATAGTATAACGAATAAACAAAATGTTTAAGTGTCGCGTAATTTCTAATAATACTTATAACTTATTAAATAACATGGTGATAGATATGAATATCTTATAAAAAAATTGATATGCGTTTTCTAGTTTTTGCAAATTCTAAACATGAACTCTTTCTTTGAACATCGTAAAGAAAAACAAAATTTTTAAGCGCGTCATAGTTTTTTAAAATATTGAGTATTTATTAATGATGCGAAGTATCGAATAGTAACTATCGAACTATTTGATAGTCATTCAAAAACTATTCGAATAGTAAAAATATTCGATAGTTACACAATATATTAGAATAGTTTTTAAAATATTTGATAGTTTATGCTAAAAATAAAATATTCGATGGTATAAACACAATTTGAATAGTTAATCGATAGTTTAAAATATTTGAAAATGCCCATCACTAATTATTTTTATTATTAATTGTATTTATAATCGTAGTAGCCTGAATTTAAACAGTTTTAAACAATCTTATTTAGATCGTTTGTGTTATTAAAACAGCAAAACTATAAATCTGACTATAATTTTACATAAGACCAATATTTTAGAAAATTTAACTTTACATATTTTTTTAACGAAACATTTTGTTGTAAAATGATTATTTCGAAAATTAAAAATTATTTATATTCAAAAAATGAATTTTAGCAAATTATTTTTTTAGCAAGTAAAAATAATTTTAGAAAATTTTTGTAAATATTATTTTAAAAGAAAATATTAAAATCTAAAATTTATATTCTATACATTTATTTAATTTATTTTAAGTATTCGTTAATTATCTTCTTTTTATAATTAAGTGTACTTAATAAAAATTTTAGATAGAACTAATCGAATATTTTTTAAAATTATTCGACAGTTTATACTAAATACACACTATTCGGTTGTATAAAAACAATTCGAATAGTTATTTGATAGTTTAAAATATTCGAAAATGCTCTTCACTAGTTATAATATTGGGAAAAAGGTTTGTGACCACTGAGAAATTGACCTAACTTTACTTTTTGCCGTTCTGCTCTACTCCCCTACTCGTCTGATACATACTCGTTGAAATTTCACCAGAACGTTTTTAGGCTTGAAAAACGAGTAGGTGGAGTGGTAATGGAATAGTGTACAAATAGCCACAGTCAAATACATACATTTGCCTTTTTCAAAAAAGGTGCAAGGCTGAGGTGGACCGGGCGGGGGTGCTGGTATATGGTCGCACAGAGTAATCGGACTCTGAAATTCCATTAAAACGCTTAGCGGATGACAAAAAGCGGTGCCACGCACACTCATCATATTCAACGGCGAGTGAAATGCGGAAAACTACCCTCAGGGAAAACCTCTCTTACTGTGGGGGAGGAAAGGGGTGAATAGTAACTCGGATAAATAATCACAGCTCGTTAATTTTGGTCCCAGTCGAGATATGTGAATGTGTGTGTACGTTTCCGGTAAAGCCCACGTGTGGTCGACAAAGATGAAAAATAATAATAATAATAACAATACAATTGCATTTATACACACTATTTAAGGGTATAATTGTGGCTGTTTTTGCGTTACCGTCGGCTCGGTCATTTAGATTATCGAATGGCAGAGGTGTTCTGCTGAGGTAATAATGGACGTGTCGATGGGGCGGAGGCAGCGAACAGTGGGAGATAGGGTCCTGGACGTAGCGCTAGAAATGTTTTTGGCACTGAAAATACTGAGGTCGTGACACGATGTAAAAATAGCAAATGCTACAAAAACATATTTCCTATATGCTCGGGTGCTTAAGCGCGTTTTTTAAATTTTTACTAATGATAACAAGCTATATTTTAGAAGTATATTACTGAGATTTTAATTACACAAAATGATACCACACAATATTATTTTTCAGTGGATTTATTTATAAAAAGATTAATCTGACTCATTCAATTATTTAACAATAAATTGAATTTTATTTGAATAAACATTCTGAAACAATCCTTTCGTATTAATGGGCCAATATTTTGCCACAGACAAAGAAAATAAGTAGGCTTGTCACCCTTTTCAGTTCATGAATTATTCAACATCTTAAAAATGGCGACACAGCTTCCCCTTAAGGAATAACAGAAACGGGTAAACACAAACAAATTAGTAATTACTTATTTTAGTATCGCTCAAAATGACTTATTTCATTTATTATTAATTATAACTCATATTTTGATTTGACAACAATACTTGTTATGACTTTTAATAAATTACCTCGGACCTTAGTATTCAACATATATTTTAACGTATTATTTAAAAACTATTTTTATATTATTATTAATACAATGGTAGGAATTTATTTGAATTAAAATAAATTTTTTTTTTCTAAAATAAATTGAGTTCAATTAAAAAAATAAGTACCAAGAGATATCACGCATCAAATTGGTACTCCTAAAAAAATGTGTAACACTAATTTTAATATCAAATAATGTTTCATGGAACATATTTTATAAACGTAGACTTTAAACCTGTTTCAATGATGTTTCATGAATGAGCTTCCTGCTTACATTCTAAAAGCGTAAATTTGGAAAATTAAATTTTTGCATTTTAAAAATAAATCTTCTTAATGTTATTATTATTTTTTACGGACGCATATTAAAACATATTTAACTAATAAGTAATTTTGACACAAGCATAAAATACTATTGATACCAACTTTGGTGGGATCTATATGACCCTTTCATGTAAATATAAATTTGTGTACTAATTACTATAATTAAGCGAGGCATGTCATTTTTAAGTACAATTGATGTATTGACCTGAAAATATATGTTTCAATAATTACTTATTTAACTCATTCTACCCGCATGTTAATTAAACATAATATAACTTATATAGTGCAACTAATATCAATGATTTTTTATAAAATATGCATTGTTTTCATACAGAATTACAGTTAAAAGCTTTAGTGATATATTTCATAGTCTCCCAAAACATTGTATTAGTTCCATCATTTAATTTTCTCCTTTCATTTTTTTTTTTTTTTGTTTTAAAAAAGTCATTGATGTGCTCCTTGGGGAATTTCAATATATATACAGAGTGATCGGTTTATCATAAACTACTCGATTACTCGCAAAGTAAATACTATATTGTAAAAACAATTTTTAAGCTCTTTAATTGCATATATTTCTTGATTTATCAGTAAATAATTACTTTTTAGAGTCATTTCTTAAAACTTAAAGGAATGTTAAATTAATTTTTTTAAATGACAACAATCATATTTAACTGGATTATATAATAGGAAATTTCCTAATTAAGAAAATTACTAGTCTATAACAACTATTGAATCAGTATTTCAGAAGTTATTAACAATTTAAAGTACAGTCTGTAGATGAGGAGGAGTGGGTGCTGCTATTTTTATCACTAGTTATTTCCTAACCGTACTATTTGTTTCGTCTAGGTATCAAAATAAGAATAACTCCCAAAGTAACTGGTCTATAATTTGTTATCGACCATTCATTTTCTTAATAAGAAAATTTCCTATTATATAAGCTAATTAAATTTGTATATTGTCATTTAAAAATTAAATTTAAAACCTCTTTAGGTTATAAAGGATGATTATTAAAAGAAATTATTTACTTGTAAATCAAAGTATGCAACTAAATAAATTCAAAAATTGTTTTTAGAATATTACATTTATTTTGCGAGTAATCGAGGGGATTTTGATAAACCGATCACTCTGTATACAGTTTTCATACACATGATTTTTTTAAAATAAAGAAATACATTTTTATATAAGACGATTGAAAAAAACTATTTGTGTAAGGGAGTACTATTTTTCCCTTAAAGTTTTAAACTGATTGAAAACAAGTTTCTTTTTAGCAACACTGTTTTTTTATTGATAATATTTTACTAAATCATCTGAAGTCTAAAAAATATAAATAATCGAACAAGTATTCATAAACTAATTCACTAAATAAAATGTTATAAATTATTTTCTAGATTATACAACTATGTATATATTTACTAGGTAAATCTAAAGTGTTTTTTTTAAATATTGATTCGAAATGTTGTATCAACGAATCTCGTATTTTTAAAAAAGTTTGAATAGACTACTATATTAGTCAATATAATTTTTTATAATTAGTGAGATTCAACGATTTTTGTTAAAAAAAAAAATTTTGTGCACTATAAATATCTTATTTTAATACAATTGAATCAACAAAATTAATTTTGGAAATTTAACTAAACCTAAGTTAAGTCAAAAGTAATATATTTAATATTAAAAATATACTAATGGTATCCTAATATATTGGTATCCTCATTTATTCTCAATTGTTGCAAACTGTTATTGCTCTGTTGGTTACTTATATGATACCTATTATAACTATTTTATAAATAACTTTAATTTGAAATAATGAAAAACCATTTATAAATCATAATGAAATTTAGATTATTGTAAATTCGATCTTCCCTATAGTTACTTAAATACTATGCCTGAACATTTTATTTGAATGAAATAAAGGCTTTAGAAAAAAAAGAGGATAAAGCTTTTAAGATATTGTCGCCAAACAAAATTTGATTTTGTCTGTCACAGTATACCGCCTTTGTTATTATGAGCACTCGGTTCACAAGTGTTTAAAAAGCTTTTTAACAAATTATAAATACGTTTTTATACGCCCCTAACTTTAAAACTTTACGTAGAGTTTTCAAATAATAACAAAAAAGGCCCACTTAAGAAACTACTTTACAAGTTATGTAAATGAAATATAATTACAACTAAAGGTTAATTCAAGGGAATGCTATTCTTGCAATCAATTTTTTTTTTTATTTGTAGTTTGGTGTCTTACTGTAATATATTATTCATTGTTACCGTTCACGGATATTAATTGTTTTTTTCTAGTAGTATCTAAATGACAAACAAAACTATTGTTCATTTAATTTAACAAATTAAAAAATTATTGTATTCGTTTAAACAATAATCGAG